GGGATTGCTGGACTAGGGAAAAGGGAGAGTTGCCATAACCAGTGGCCCTTCCCTGGTCCACTCTCAGCGCTTTACACACCCAACCTGGGGAGGCGCTGGCTGCACAGTGTGAACAGGCCTGGCGTCTCCCCACCACCCCCGCTTGGGGGCGGGGCCTGCCTTCGCGAGGTCCGCGGCGCCCTCAGGGTAGCTGCCTTCGCCCGCAGGTGCCTGCTCTGCCTGTCCTCCCACTGCTGAGCATCTTCGTGAATGTCCACTTGATGATGCAGATGACCACTCGGACCTGGGCCCAGTTTGGTGTCTGGAATGCCATTGGTAAGTGAGTTCCTGGGAAAAATAAAAAGGCCTCCTGAGTGGCTGAACCCAACACACTTCCAACTACCTTTTCCCAAAAATGTGTAAGATGTCATAATAGGTGGCCTATTGGGCATCTGTAAGTGGGGAGGGTGCCTACTTTTCCTTCTCATCGTCTCATTGCCCGACTAGGTCTCGCCATATACTTTGGATATGGGATCCGACACAGCTCGGCGGGGACCACTGATCCACAGCCTCCAGCCTCCGACTCACAGACTCTTGACAATAACATCCCTGGTGATGAATCCTCTTAACCACAGGACACGGATGCTGTGTGGAATCCCTGCGTACACAGGAGGCACCTGCTGGTTCATGGACACTTTGAGCCTCTGTGAATTGTGAGGATGGGATGCGTTTAGAGCCCTGTAGTCACTGCCAACAGAGGAAATGATTTTAATGTTGTATAATTTTAAGTAAACCTTTAAAGGCATAATATACATACTTAAAAGTGCAGGCTTCATAAATGTCCAGCAAGATGAATTTTCAAAAAGAAAGTACAGCAATGTAACCAGCAACCAGAGGAAGAAATAAAATATGATGTGCAAAATAAGAAGCGCCTTATTGTGCCTCTTTCCAGCAGAAACACAGAGATTGCAAATGAGAAGGAAATGCAGGCTACTGTACATTATGTCAAGAGTTACACGTTCAATAGGAGGACACAAGTAGTTTGGAAGTAAAAGGAAAGGAACAGATACATTGTGTGGACAGCAACATGAGAAAGCTGGGGCGGCTCCATTAGTATCAGGCAAATTAGACCTTATGATAAAGAGACTAAAAACAGGTAAAGCGGGTCATTTCATAATGATAAAGGGAAACGATCCTTTTTATCTGTTCCCCCAGCTTTACTGAGATGTTGTGTAGCATTGTGTGAATGATGATTTCTGCTTACTTTTCTGACTCAGACTCTTAGAGTTTCACACTAGAGTTGGTGAGGAAAAGTTCTTAATTGAGAGGAAAACAAAAACAAAAACAAAAACCTCCTGCTTTGCTAGAGGAGACAGAAGGGAGCAGGAAGTAAGGGTTGGTTGATAAATGGTCACGGTTGGGTGGAACTAAAAGAAAGGAAGTTAAACTGGAAAGATGAGATGAAAGGTTGCTGCTGCAAATTGAGATTATGGACACTGAACTCATTGGTGATAATGAAGCAGAGGACTGTGTATGGGAATGAATAACTGAAGTAGAGAGAAGGAGGGGTGGGACTCAAGAAACTGAGCAGCAAATTTATTAGATGAATTTAAAAATAAATTGAGGAGTATTAACAGAATTAGGAAAATCACTATCTTGCAAGTTGGAATAAAACTGCAGACTTAGGATGCAATTGATGGCGATGGAAACTGTTAGGCGAAACTCTGATGGACGAGATTGACATCGCCTGATTTTCGCCTTTCCTTCCTGATGTGGGACCACCGTACAGCACGCAATCCCATGTGCTGTAACAGACAGCACAGTACACTGCCCGTAACACGGTCTTCATGAAAAGTTGAATCAGGATGTGATCAAACCTCTAGATCAACTACCAGCTCACAGCAGAGAGAAGGGAGAGATTCACATTTCAACTGAACATACAATCAACCAAAACAAGAATGTGGGCAGTTCTCTAGGGAAGAAAAATGATACACTTTCTGTGACAATTAAATGATATCACTCAAACTGGGGAGTTAATACAGGCACATCCTGGAGAAATTGTTGGTTTGGTTCCAAGTGTCCGCAGTAAAGAGAATATGGCAATAAAGAGGTAACACAGATTTTTTTGGTTTCCGAGAGCATATCAAACTTTATGTTCACGCTTCAGTATAATCTATTCATTGTGCCATAGCATTCTGTCTCTAAAAAAAATGTACATACCTTAGTTTAAAAAAACTTTACTGCTAAAAAATGCTAATCATCATGGAGAACCCAGGGTTGCTGCAAACCTTTGATTTGCAAAAAATGCAGTATCTGCAAAGCGCAATAAAATGACGCACCCCTGTACATGTGTATGTATGTGTACGTATTAAAATGTGTACATGTATAATTAATATGCACAAACCTGTACACGTATAAGATACATGTTTTAAAAAATATGTTTTCTG